TTGGGGAAGCAGAAGTAAAATAATATGATGACAATTCTTATCTTACACTCTAGAAGAGCCAGGAAGACCTAAGCAAAGTAGAGGGACAAATGCCCGGAAGATCCCAAAGGCACAGTGCAGTTGCTATGGAAGTGAATCATAAACAGGTCTCAGACTGAGATTTGATGGGACTGCCCCCTGGCTTTCTGTATGTCTAAGACACCTTTGCTCTGGGGAAACAGAAGCTGACAGGATGTCTGCTGGGCTGGAAGCATTGGCAAATGGAGTGACATATGCTGGGGGCAAAGTGAGTTGACAGAGCATCCCCAATGAAGAGAACCACATGAACAAGTGTGTACTAAACCTCCCTTAGTCGTTAGGGGCTGTTTGATGTGGCTGTTACACACCTTCCTTTGGCTTAAGTGAATAAGAAAGAGGAAGAGGAGGAGGAGGAAGAAGAAGAGAAGGAGGAGGAGAGACAGTCATGATTGAAAGTTTGCTAAGACACAGGTACAAATCTGAGTTAGGTAGGTAAGGGCTGGTGATCTGTTAAAAATTAGTTCTTTTTCTTTGGTGCCCCAGCAGAGTTCATTGGTTCAGTGCTAAATTACGAAGATGAACACCCTTCTGTGAATCACACCTCCTTCTTTCAACATCTGGGTTTCCCTGATTCATGTTCAATCTGAACTTACGCAGACCATTTTGGTTTTGCTTGTGAAATTTGGGTGAGCCAACTTAAACTGAGGTGACTACCATTTGTTTCTGACTAAAGCCTTCTTGCAATTTTATATGAAAATATTGGTCTGTAAGGGGAAACATTTTTGTACTGATGCAAATCTTGATATTAATAAGAAATTTAGCTCAATTTTTTTCACTGCCTGACACACAGTGAAACTGTATTTTGGGGATGGCTCAACATCTCCCAAGTGGACAGTTAGGGTTTCCAGAGCCTGGTCTCCTTAATCTCTATCTACCTTTAGGATGAAGGAATGGATCTGGCTTCTTAGTGAACATGAAACTACTAACTCAGGTAAACATTGGCAATTTTTCTCAAAGAGTGGAGAACGTTAAAGCAGGTTTATCTGTAATCTCTTAACTCAGAAGTAGCTCTCACAGAGCAGTTTCTAAATAATCCTTCAAAGATTTTTAAGAGCACAATTAGATTTTATATCTATTTGACATCTAACAGTAATCAGACACTCAATGCAAAATGCATTCTACTATGCTTTATGAAATTCATAATGCAAGCTGATGCTCATGTATTTGCTTTCAATATTGAGTTTCTAGGGAGAAAAAAAATACCGTAAAAAAATAGTGTTCCTTAAATTTCAGTGGCACTAAAGATCTTAGTCTTACTATAAGGGACAAAAAAAAAATATCACCTATTATTTGTGGCTCTCCTCTTTCGGACAAACAATACCAGCAACGAAGCCTATAGCAGAGTTGTTATCCTGCACTGAATTTCTCCTATGTGCCAGGCATTGTGACAAAACTTAGTAAACATCTAACTAAATCTCTAACTCTCTAAATAACCCAGCAAGGTAGGAGTCGTCCTTCCTACTTAACAGATAAGAAAACGGTAGCTCGCAGAATTAAGAAGGTTCCTTAAATGACACAGTAGCAAGTGAGTTCACGTCAGTTTCCATCCAAGGTCTGCCTGGCTCTAGAGCCAGCATTTTCCTGCTCTACCACATCTCTCCGTGCTGGATCAGAATAAGTTACATGTGTGTCAAAAACAAAGCATCAGAAGGGGAGAGTCATAAAAGTAGCCACAGTCCTCTAAAGAAGAGGAACAGTACTGAGCAAAGGAAAGCACAAACACAAGCCATCAAACAGTAAAGCAATGGTAGCAATTAGGAAGCAAGTCAATTAAGCTATTTAGCCAGTAGCAGTCCGGGCTGTTTGTAAAGGAACCAAGGCTGGGTCTGAGCCACCCATACATTTTAGAACCCAGGAAAAACTTAGCATTTCTTCCCAGAACTCATCAAATCCATTATTACTTTTTTTTTTTTTTTGAGACAGTCATACTCTTTAGCTTAAACTGCCGTTTGTATTCTCAGTAATCCTCCTGCGTAACTTCCTGAGCGCTGTCATCACCAGCACATCCAGCTGTGTGTGTGAATGTGTGTGTGTGTGTGTGTGTGTGTGTACTTGTGTGTGCCTGTGGAAACCAGAAAACAACCTTAGGTGTCATTCTCAGAAATACCATCCAAGTCCTTCAAGGCAGTGTCTCTTACTGGTCCCGAGTTCGTCAATAAGGCTAGTCTGGCTGGGCCGGCTAGTGGAGCCCCAAGTACCTTCTTGTCTTTGCCTCCCCTGAGCTGGGACTACAAACACAAACACACGCCACCATGCAGCTCCAACTCAGATCCACAAGCCTATAGGTAAACACTTTAGCCACTGTCTCCCCAAACCCCAACATCACCACACACACACAAAAAAAAATGAAAAAGCAATTTAAAAATAACGCTATTTTATGCTATTTTTAAAAATAATCTGCACCATGTCGCCTGGAAGAGCGCGCCACTCAGAGTGAGACGGCATGAGTTTGTCAGCCCTGTGGCTTTATAAGTGTGTGGTCTTGAATAAACCATACAACCGTCTTTAGGTTTCGGTTCCCCGTGTGAATGTAGAAGGGCTGAATAAAGTGCCGGCTGACACCCTTCCTACAAGGGTGCTAAACAGTCCTAGATAGAACTGGTGGCTGGACCTTTGGGTGTTAAACAGAGTTTCTTCTGAACACTTACCCCTAACAAGCTTCTTATGGGCGGCTTGGTAATCTTAAAAGACTGATTGTTACTGTATTTGCTTCGTCTGTATTGAAGTCCGGAGGACAACGCCTACTTCAATGTGTACCATTCTGCCGTGCTAAGTGACCTTGTCTCTTAAAACCTTTCCATTTGGGTTGAGGCCATGGTTGAAATCTGAGGGTAGAGTTGAGCCCTAATAAACTTGACTGCAAACAGAGGGTGTTTCACCAATGGCATAATAGCTGTCTGCAACTCCTGGGGAGGAAATGAATAATAGACTTACTACCTAGTGAGTCTCTTGTAAATCCAGCACTTCCATTAGACTTCTCCAGGAGTCAGAGGTACAGTAAAATGATCAGAGCTCCCGATACTGCTTTCTACTGAGCTATGGTTATTTTCTTCATCCTCACAATTTTATTTTATTTTTTTTTAAAACTTATTTAAAGGGAGGAAAGGGTGCTTAGTGCAGTATGAAGTGAATATAATTCTGATTCTGGGAGGGAAAAAGAAGATCAAGTCAAGGACTGAGCCTGCAACACAGTATAAGAGAATAATCTTCTATCAAAAGCTTTAGTGAACCAACCCTAAAGACCAACCAGGAGCAGGGCTGGCTGGCTTCCATCGGGGGTTGACAGACACAGACCGCAGGTCTGCAAGCTCCCACAAGGAGGGAGGTCTGTGTTCCACTCAGCAATCTCTTCCCCTTCAGGGTCCTTGAAGGATGGGACACTAAAGGACAGAATCCTAACTGACAAGCCGCAGACCAGACCACGGAGGGTGCCTTGCAAAGCCCAGAGCAGGCTTGGCGGCGCGTTAAGGAGCCCTGCCTTGCTGAAATCCGGTCCACATTTTGCCGAGAGCCCAGGCGCTGTGAATAAGAGGAGCCTCTGAGGGCTGGTTTCTGATGTCGCACTAGGCACGATAAGAATGCCATTGACGTCAGCAGAGTCATCATCAGGGAGAATGGCACCCCAGCTCTTGAAACCACACCAAGCAATTGCAGTGCTTTTGAAAATTAAAAGCCGGTGCTGGGGAGTGGGGGTGGGGAGAGAAAGGAACTGAGGAGAAGCAGTGGCTCCATCTGAACTGTCTTTTCTGCGTTTCCTGCATTAAAAAAACGCAGGCACATAGCGCTCCAAGAGCATGCACATTCGCGGTTCGCATCGCGTACACACACACACACACACACACACACACACACACGCTGCTACAGAGGCTCCTTCAGCCTAAATTGAGGACACTGGGGAGAGATAGGAGGCATGGAGGGGGGGAGGCAGACACACACACAGAGAGATAGAGAAGAGAGAGAGAGAGAGAGAGAGAGAGAGAGAGAGAGAGAGAGAGAGAGAGAGAGAGAGAGAGAGAGAGAGAGAGAGAGAGAGAGAGAATATGAATTTAATTTGTTAACATTTCTGAATCCAGATAAAACAAACCCTGCCACCCAGCTGCTGGACAGAGGCCCTGAGCCACAAGGGAAAATGCTGGCCACTGTGAATGGAATTGCTGAAGCAGAGCTGATAGCTTACACTGTGTATTGATGCGCAGATGACAAGAAAGGAGTGAAAACTTCAAAGGAACTACTGCGAAGCCAACCCAGTCCCCGCGCCCCGCCACACACACACACACACACACACACACACACACACACTCACACACACACACACACACCCTTCCACCAACATAGCCAGCTTTTAGTACATGTATTGAGGGTTTGGAAAGGGAATAGGGCTGAACTGTGTGACTTCAGCTTCCAGAGGTAGCCCTGAGGACATCACCGCCTGCTGAATTCAAAGGTACCTAAGCTGGAAGAAGTCTTGGAGTTAGGTAGACTTTGAAAGCATTGTTTTTTAAAATAAAATTGGAAATTGTGACACTTGGAACTTCCCCATTTAACCTAATCCTTTCGGTTTGCCTAGTCCAATTGTTGGGCCGGCCCCACCCTCATCCCCTACCCCCACCCCCAGCACCGTGAGAAAGTGATAGAGTGGGCTTGATGACATCAGGCCAGCCCTGTCACATGCTTTATTTTACAGCATTGATTGGCAGCTTCCCAAGCCCACGGGATCTTCTGCTGACCTGCTTTTCAGATCTGTATCTCCAGGTTCCGCAGCAAGAATCCTTCTGGTCTGTGGAAATGTGAGCAGGGGAGGAAAAGAACGCACGCACTAAGGCAGAATCTAGCAGAAAACGTGGATTTAATAAATTGCATCATACAAAACTCCTCTATCAGATGGACAGGCAGTAGGGGGCCCGCCACGTGAGAGGCGGGCAGGAAGGCTGCCCGCTCTTTATCCGAAGAACAATTTCCTTTTGAAAAAGGAAGACGCAGTAAACGGCATTTCTTTCCAAAACATAAGTTGTGCTATAGGTGGAACCCACGCCTCCCTCCTTTCTCTCTTCAAATTAAGATGCACCTCCTAAGTGAGATAAAGAAGGGATGTTTAGTGCAGCGTGTGAAGTGTGCCTCTAACCTGCCTTCCTGTAACAGTGGAAAGGCAGCTAAGTACCCATGTGGGGTTTGGGCTGTATCTTGAGAGAATATTGTTTATCTGTAACGTGGAGCGTTTGGTTTATTTTGCTTGATTTTGGTTTTTCATTTTGCTTTGTCAGTTTAAAAATCCACCAATAAGTTTACTTCATAATGGGATCTTTCCATCTCTTCCTCCCTTTGCCCCTTTCTCATTCTTTCTCCTCTTCCACTTTTCTGTTTTCCTTCCTGCTTCTTCCCTTTGAAAAAAAATACTCCTGAAGTTTTCAGTCTCTGACAGAGTCATAGACCAGTTCTCAACCAGTGGCCTGTGACTCTTTGGGGGGTCCGGTGACCTTTTCACAAGGGGTTGCCTAGGATCATGGAAAAACAGATATTTACTTTGCAATTTGTAACAATAGCAAAATTACAGTTACAAAGTAGCAAGGAAAATGATTCTTTGACTGGGAGTCAGCACAGCATGAGGAACTGGATGAAAGGGTCGCAGCAGTAGGAAGGCTGGGAGCCCCTGTTTGAGCATGTGCCTCTGAAGATCCCAGATCTGGATCCAGAGCGTGTGAACGTCTGTGTTTGTATATCACCGCAGTGAAGCGGGGTGGCAGAGAAGAGCTTTTCGACAGTACTCCTTTACCTCTACAGCGATAGAAGGCACTGTGTTAACTGCTCTGCCATCCCCTTCGGACTGTTTTCTACCTCATTTCTTGATGAAAGCTGCTGGGCGAGCTTCCTGACCTCCCTTTCTGGGTCGTTCCTGAGAGTTGTGTCTGGCGCCCTTGCATCCTGCCCCACCTGTCCCTGTCTAGGATGCTCAGTTAGCCCCCAACCCGACAGTCTCCTCTAGGGAAAAGGCGGTGGAAGCCCTTCTCTCTTCTTTTCGACCTTGCTGCCTTCTTGCCTGAGACACCGGGGGACCACACTGAATGGATCCTGTTCTGGTCGGTCTGGATGTGTTTAGGATCGGTTCAAACGCCCCAAACCGTAATTTGCGACAGGAAAGGCTAGTGCAACAGTTGAGGGCTGGGAATTAGCAAACAAGCTAGGAAGTCAACTGACAGAGGAAGCCATGGCTGGAGATCCTTTAGGAAATAAATTCTTAATAATAATAGTAATAGCAATAATAATAAATAGTAATAAACAATCCTTTTTCAGGTGTGTTAATTTCCTTTGTGGCCAGAAATAGCCTTATGGACTTAGGGTTTTTGAGACTCATTTTCATCTTTCTTTTTCTAAGGTTTGTTTTTACTTTTAGGGGAAGACACAAGGATACAGGTGGTGAATTTGATTATTGACATCAGTCTTAGTTTGGCTTAATAAGCCATGGAAACAAAACAGCTCAGCCTCCCAGAACTGCTGTAACCCAACGCTGGTAGCACTAAAAGCACCATGGCTTTGGTTACGCATGCCTGTAGTCCAGGCCTTGCTTCAGCATTTGAATTCTGCAGTAAGATATCTGAAGCTCCTTCGTTTATCGCACCTTAGGCAAAAATCTTGTAGAGCCAAGTAGAAAAGCTTTACCAAAATGCAAGAAGGAGAGTCCCCACTTTGACCTCTCTATTAGTATGTGAGGAAGTAGGAAAAATTAGCAAGTTGTCACGTGTGCTACGTGAGGAACATACTTTGGAGGCAGACCCAGAAGCTGAGTTTGCAGTCAGAAAGTTGTTTCTCCTACATGAAGTTTACATGGCTCCTCTATGCCTTCTCTGGCTTCTAAGGCAGAACATTCATAGGCTCAGGACTTGTACTGGCTAGTTGTATGTCAACTTGACCCAAGCCAGAGTCCTCAGAGGAGAGGGCCTCAATTGAGAAAATGCCTCCATGAGATCAGGTTATAGGCAAGCAAGCCCGTAGAGCATTTTCTTAATCAATGGTTGATGGATAGGTTCATTGTGGGTGATGCCATCCCCGGGCTGTTGGTCCTGGGTTCTAAAAGAAAGCAGAAAGGGCAAGCCATGAGGAGCAGGCCAGTAAGCCCTACCCCTCCAGGGCCTCTGGATCAGTTCCTGCCTCTAGGCCTCCAGGTACCTTTCCTGTTTGAGTTCCTGTCCTGACTTCCTTCAATGATAAACAGTGATATGGAGGCATAAACCAAAAGCAAAGCAAAAACAACAACAACAAAAACAACCCTATCCTCCCCAAGTTGCTCTTTGATCCTGGCATGCTTCATCCCAGCAACAGAAACCCCAACTAAGACAGAAAGTAGGGAACTACTGGGAAGGGGTAGAAAGACAACGCTGTTTTCTTATACTATACAGATGAGAACGCTGATGCCTGGGTGATTCAAATTACTCATCTGAGGAGGTCACTGCTTGTTATGAGCACTAAAGTCAAGACTGTGGACCCAGGTCTTCGGTCTGGAATTGCGGGGCTGTGGGTTGCTTCCATTGTGCGTCCCTTCCGGTGGACCTCTGGGATGTGCAACAGCACGCACTTTTCCTGTATAGGCAGTGTTATTAGAAAGCACACGGGCTGGAGTAGAGAACATAGAGGTGATGATCAAACCCTTGGTTCACTGTGAACGCCCATGCGCAAAGCAGGAAACTCGGCAGCTGACTGGAAAAGCTGTGCCTATTTGAATCAATATTTTAGTGACGAGAAGTAGAATAGAAAAAGAGGATGGAAGGAAGAAGCCAGGCGATGTATACACACAGTACATTATAAGGAAGAAATAAAGGTTGCTTGCAAAGAGTTTCTTTTTTTAAAATAAACCTGAATGGACAGAGAGTAAATATCAAAGACGGATTGGCTGATAAAAATGCAACAGGCAACGCAGCAGAGGTGATTTTAGACTCAGCTTCACTACTGTTCCTTGTCAAAGACAGAAGACTGTATGTATGTGACGTAGAGGTGAAGACCCAGTCCAGGGCCCAGGCCCAGGGTAAATAGACACACGCTTTTGAGAATGCCCCTCCCGATTGAGCTTTAAGAATTAAGTATACTGTTAATGACAGCACCAAAGAAAACATGGAGCAGCTTTTGGAAATTGAAAATCTGGAAGCTGGACTGAAGGGGAGAAATTAAAACGTAAGCATCTTGCTGTATGATGCAGAGGCAGATAAACTAACCCACAGTTTAAAAGTGGATAAAGGAGGGTTACTAAGGCCGCAAGGGCCTCGCTGCTGTGGAAAGTACTTCTGGCAGCTCGGGCCACACAAGGCAGAATGGAGGCCTCTAGTGAGTTGCAAAGATAAGATATACACGAGATGTTTGAGGAACAACCCTGAAGTTCAGCATGTTAGTCACGAAGTTAAAGGGCCCTGTGGAGCCTGAACAACAAAAGGAGAGAGAACTAGGAGAATATACATACCTTCTACGGCACCCCGGGCTGCGCACTAGGAGCAGTTGAAGATGTAAAGAGAGACGGTGTGCTGTTGGAGACTCGCAAGTTAACCTGTACGTGTGGATACATGTCAGTGCTGGAATTCCATTTCTTAAAAGGATCACTCAGTCTTGGGAGCATTTTGGTTTATGCTGGGGAGCTATATAGTAGGGACACGAAAACGTGTACAAATAGTGCGATTAGAAAGTTGATTGTGTAGTGTGCCAGCAAGCTATTTTTTCCTTCTACTCCCTTCCCTTGGCCCCAGACAAAACCAAAAACCCTGGTCTGCAATGTGGGTTTATTGTCATGGTGTAAATATTCTCCCCATGCCTGGCTGATATCACACTTTGGCCTAACAGGTTTGTTTTGTTTTTTAGAGAATTCTAGAAAGTTTAATCTTTGACAAGATCGAGTTCTGGTGTACCACTGCCTCAGCAATTCTCTGACTCTCAGTGACAGATATCAGAGCCATTGCACTGATGGAGTAGGTGCAGCTGTATTTACCTGCTCCATGCCTGCCAGTGTGCCTAAGATTGACTCTGTCATCATTCCCCTGTGGCTTGGGGTGGGACCATTAGGGACACTCACTCACTGAAGGACTGCTGGGGGCTACCATGTCAGGAAAGGGAGCATCCTTTTCTTGAGCAGTGTAGCCACTGGTAAGTAGCTCTCATTCCAGTAAATAACCTTCCAGCCATGCTCAAGGAAGAAATTCTGCCTATACACAGCAGGTTACAGAGAAAAGGAGAAGACAGGAGAGTGGGGAATGGGAGGGTTATCAGGAAGGTTCTAGAAGGAAGGGGGTAGAAAAGGGGAGAGGGGTATGAAAACAACTAAAATCCATCATGGGTAAAAATATCAAGTAGTGGGTGGTTTTTTTTGTTGTTGTTGTTTGTTTGGTTGGTTGGTTGGCTTTTTGTTGGTTGGTTGGTTGGTGTGGTTTTTAAAGACACTAAGAGCTGAGTTCTTTTTCGAGGCCCTGAATTATTTGCATCACAATAAGAATTGGGGTAAGAGGAAGAGATCTGTAAGTGCTAGGCAGTTTAGTCACAAAGCGCTTGAATTAGGACATCAAAATAAAGCTTTAGAAGAGACAAATAGAAGCCATGGCCCTAAACGTGAAATAAAATGCTAAATCATGTACATGTTCGCCATGCACGACAGTCTAGTAGCAGACGGTCCAAGTGGGTGAAGAGAGTCGGAACTGACTCAGGGTGTGAAAGCTGTGGCCAGGCACACTAAGATGTCTCAAATCCAGGCGAACACAGCCATATTTCAGCAGGTATGTCTTTTCTTTTTCAAAGAAAACGTATCTGATAGTAAGTTGACCAATTAATAGCAATGAGACTCCAGAAGAGAAGAACTGGAGAAAAAAAATCTGCCTTTTATTAGTGAAGATAATTCAACTCAGCAACAGGGTTGGAATGTTGTAACTTCTGTGTGAGGAAACTGTAGCCTGGAGTATGGGATAAAGGCACCAGGAAACAAAGAAGCAATAATGGCTAAAAAATTAAATAAATAAATAAATAAATAAATAAATAAATAAATAACAAAAAATAAAGACATTAGTTCAGAGGAGTCAGCACAAAGAAGCCCTGTGTTTTTACTGTAAACCAGGGTTTCTAGGTATTAGCGTCACCATTATCGACGATAATAGCTGTATTGGCATTAACCAGCTGTTGCTAATGGTTTAAAACCAGGTGCCTGCAACTTCCCGTCTGGTGGAAATTGATCTTTTAAATTTTTGTTTAAAAGATAAATCTTGGATCTGCTCTGCCTCTGCACAGCATATTAAACCCTTTTCTCTCCTTTTTTTTTTTTTTACTTCCACTTTTTGGTTAGACAGACAGACACACACACATACACACATACCACGTACACAAGCACCTCACTGTTCCTCCTGCAAGCCCCGCTCTCCAGCCATCTTCTCTCCTTTAGCTGGCTGCAGATCTGTCCTCCTGCTGCTCTGGGAGGTGCAACCCCAGAGCACAGGCAGAAATTCTTCTCACTGACTCCTAAACTCAGAAGGCCTTTTCAGCGCTCACAGCCCAGGTCTTATTGCAGTGACGTGATGCTGCTGCCCTTTGGAAGCACCAGGGTGGAAAAGAGAAGATGCCATGATCCATGTATGTGGACGCTCGGGGAACATGTTTGCACACATTCCGGGCAGACGCTCCTTTACAAAACCTGCCTGTGAAGGTCTGAGCTGAGTAAGTTTGGTAAGTCATCCAGAAGGCAAAACAAACAAACAAATGACAACAACAACAACAAACCAACACAAAAGCCAGCTTGCAACCTGGTCATCCAATATATGTGGCAGTTTGTAACCTGATCATACGATATAAACAGCACGCACCATTACATGTAAATGTTAGGGCCTAAACTTTCTAAATGTCATCCCTCATTGTGATGCCATAAAGTCTTCATTTTAAAAATGCTTTAAAGGTTCATTTAAAAAAAAAGTGAACTTGTATTGTACATTACAGTATAGCTCAGTACAGCAGATGCTGAAAACATGTTGCTGACATGTCTGGAGAAAATTTCCAATTATTTCCTATATTCTTACCCATGCTTTGACTATATATTTATTAGTCAGAGCTATGCCATGAGCACCAATTCTCAGAAATAAGAAATAATATGTCAGAATATTGTGGAAATTAGTCTATTGGAAGTCTACATGGAATCAAAATTTTTGCAAAGCCATTTTAAAACCATTACTAATTATTTATGCAATCATAAATGACTCCGGCAAAATTGTTCAGCAAAGTGTAGGTTCTGTGGAAAGCAGTCAGCCTTGGCGGGTAAGCTCAGGCTAGCCCATCCATCTTTCCTCAGTACGTATATCACTTGGTTGATCAACAATAGTATATTATATATGCCTTAATTATTAAAAAAGAAGTATGCAGCCTAAGTCTCAGAAATTAAGTCCTCAGCTCCACTAGTGCCACTTTACTCTTGGACAACAGATGTGCATGAGGAATGAAGTGAATGAAATCCGAACGTTCGCCCCCTAAAGAAAATGCGCATCATAGCCCAGACAAATGTTTGCTCATATTTTGGTGATGATTCACACAAAATCACACACAAAAAAAAAACATGCGGCTCCAAGTCTTCCAAATGTCTGTATTCATATAGATTTTGCTTTATGAGCATTTTTATTGCAAAAGACATTTCTTCCAAGTCTGTTGCTTAATGACTTACCTGACTTAGCCGTTTGTGTTGAACATTTGTGTCATTGTTACTATCTGCTTTCCCTCTCTGCTCTCTCCTTGAACAAATAGCTGATGAAAGAGGTGGTATGGGGGTGGTGTGCAATCTCCAATATGCAAATACGCTCTGGGGAGCTGTCTTAGTCAGGCTTGCTGGTGCTGTGAAGAGACACCATGGCCACAGCCACTCTTATAAAGAAAAGGATTTAACTGGGGCTGACTTACAGTTTCAGAAGTTTAGTCTATTGTCATCATGATGGTAATCAGGTAGACAGTGCTACAGAAGGAACCCAGAGTTCTGCACCTGGAATCAGCAGGTGGCAGAAGAGAGAGAGATACTGGGCCTGGCTTCAGCAGTTGAAACCTTAAAGCCCACACCCCCCAGTGGCACATTTCCTCCAACAAGGCCACCCCCTACTCCAACAAAGTCAGACCTCCTAAGAGTGTCGCTCCCTCTGAGCCTATGGGGACCATTTTTATTCAAGTCACTGCAGGAATGGAGAAGACAGTTCCAGTTTATGAAGGTACAGCAACAACTGAGGGCTTGCCATAGTGACAGCATCCAAAGGACTTTGAGATCTTGCATAATCCTTACTACTGATGTAAGACAGAAAATGTTTTTTTTTTTTCCTTAAAAGTTGTGGAAACTGAGACACAGACAGAGTGGTCGAATGACTAGCCAAGATTCACACACGTAGTAAGAAGCAACCCCTAAAGTTTTAAACACTAACCTCACTAAGTAATGCAAGTCTGCTTTTATTTGTACCTGAGAATACCTTTTCTACCTGGGTACCACTTGACTTCACATTTTCTAGAGAAAACCAATAAGTTGTGTGGTCTGCTGAGTCCATCAGTATCTATGTTGTCTAGTAGATAAAGAAACAAAGACCTACTTCGTCTGGAACACAAGAGTCAGTGTTTTATTCATCTGGGATTGTTCTGGATTGTTCTGTATAATATGGTGAGGAGAATAAACAGTTTACCAATGGAACGCTAAAGCTGGTTTTAACTGGGCTATTGAAGTATGATCAATATATAAATATTGTTCCATTTTCAGAGTTACAATTAAAATGTTTCTTATTCCAAACAGCTAATATAAAAGTCTAAAATTTTTAAGGTGGTAGTAATCTGGCAAGTTTCTCCCCATCAAGTCTACATCTCTCCTCCATTTGTCATTTATGTTCTACATGCGGAGGGGTTGCTTTCTGTTTGTGTTATCTCCAGGAATAATGTCTGACATTTACAAGAATGTCTGGGGGAAAAGAAAGAAGTAAACGAGGAAACAGATAGAGGGAAGACTACCAAAAGGGAGGGGGAGAGGGAGAGTAGGTGAGGAAAGGAAGGAAAGAAGGGGACAGGGAGAGAGATGACGCCAGCTTTTCCAAACCACTTCCAACACTACTTCCTCTGGCTAGCATAGAGCACGTTCCCCATTCTTCCTAGTCCATCTCATATCCAAACCTTCCATATGCTTGGGGTTCCTACTTGCAGAATATACCCAGAGTCAGATCCTCATCCTCTCCATAGCTGATTCTTCATTGCAAGCCACTGTCTTTCTTGCTTTGATGGTGGCTTTAGCATTTAAAGGACACCTCGCTTCTTCTCTTGCTGTACTGTGGTCTTCTCCAAACATAACAGGAGATAGATATATGGATAGATATATGGTAATATATCTGTTCATTGCTTTACAAAGGCTCAGTGCTTTCCTCTGAGTTCAAAGTGAGAACTGTAGCCTACAGTGCCCAATTTGACAAGCCGCTTGCTCCTTTTCAGCCCCTTCTTTCTTGCTCTTCTTCCTTTCTGTCACACAGCTTCAGTCAGTCCAGCTTTGCTGCAAGTTTTCAAACCCATTAGACAGGCTCGCTTTAATACCTTAATGCTACCTAGTATACACTTTCCTTCAATATCACACGCCAATCAATCTCTTGATTTCCTTGAGTCTTTGTTCATACCTCATTTTATCCAAAAAGCCATCATGATCATCTGATTTTTAACTGCATTTTGCATTACCCCACTCCTAGTCATTGCTTTACAGTACGCTTGCTTGTTTTGCATGGATTTCCTTAGAATGCATAATTTATAGTATTTAGTATATACATTGTCCCTTTCTATAACTAGATTGTGAACCTCTCCTGGGCAATGTTTTAGTTACTAAGAAAGAAAGAAGGAAAGGAAGGCAAAGAAAAAAGAAAAACAGGAGAAAAAGATAATAGATGTTAGACAGATGGGTCTAGATAAAAATGTATGTGATATAAATACAGATGATACAGATATAGATGAGTACCTCAACCAGGTACTGGGATCTCAGGACATTTGTTTGGGAGTAGGGTTGAACTATATAGCCCTGGTTGTCCTGTAATTCATTAGGTAAAATGGACTTGGCTTGAATTTACAGAAAAACGTCTGCCGTAATGAGTCTACCTTTGTCCCACCAGCCAGCTCCAAATAGTGACATGGATACTTCTTATCATTATAAAAGCTTGGTTTATAGCTTAGGCTTGTTCCTAACTAGTTCTTGTAACTTAAATTAACCCCTTTCTACTAATCTACATCCTGCCATGTGACTCGAGACTGTGACCTTTCCTCCTGCACGTCCTGCTTCCTCTGCGTCTGGCTGGGGCTCAACCTTTCTTCCTCCCACTTCCTCTTGCCCAGAAGTCCCGCCTATATCTTCTGCCTATCTATTGGCCCATTCAGCTTTTTATTACACAAATCATAGTAATATATCTTCATACAGAGTACAAATAACCCACAACAGCTGCCCCTGCCTCTTAAGAGCTGGGATTAAAATCTTGTGCCACCAAACCAAGCTTAGTACATTTTGACTAAACGAATGTCCCCGTTTCTCCTGTGTACGTGACTTGGCTCCACTGTTTTTTTCAGTATGTGCCCTCCTCTGATGGCCACACTTCACTTATACCCAGTCTCAGCCAGATCAGGGACACTACACATCGTTCTTTTGATCCTTGAAAACTGAGGTCCCGGTTTCTACCAAATTCCCTTTGTCTTTAGAGTGGTCTGATGGAGGCGGAGAACACACTCCAACTGTCAGCCTTTGAAAAGGGAGGTCTCTCTTCGTTGTGAGCTGTGAGCTTTACGAGTGACTACTACGTTAGAGCAGCTCACTATAGGGGACACCCAGGGGACAGTCATACTCAGAAGAGCCTATGAGTGGAATCTAGGTAGCTTTCTGTTATCTCCTTAGAAACCTACTAGAAATTCACAGAGAATAAGCTTACATTTTGTGGTTGAAGATTTTAACATTTTTTTAGGATGGTGTTTGCATAGTCTTGTCCTGGATTTAGGACATTGAAAAGAGCTGAGAGTACACAGAAACTATTTATCTCCTGTGGCCCACAGGGAAGTCAAAAGAGGAAAAGTTTGAGGTCAGGAGCTGAATATCAGAGAGAGAAAAACCATAAAGTCCTAAGAAAGAACGAGACTGTCAAAGCATGATCTCCTCCCTGTCTTGCTTTTCCTTTAAAGAATACACACTCCACATACCTACTTTCTAAGCAAATGTATGTTTAAATATCTCTCAAGTCCTCCCAAGTATGGAAGCATTGACATCCTTAGAATCAGAGTGCACTGTACCTCAACCTTGCTGTTCACTAGTGGTGAGACCATGACTTTCAGTTAAACACGAGCTCGGGCAAACAGGCTAAGGCAAGTGTCAGCACAGCAACGGCACGTTTGATGGCACATCAGACCAGCATAGGGTCACTGGGTTACTGAATAGCATCCTGAGGTCCTTCCCACTGCCCTTTCTTACTCTAAGTGTTCCCTGCCATAGCATCTGCTTTAATATCCTGAAAAAGCAATTTAAGAAAAGATAGATTTTTAAAGTTTTTTTTTTTCACAGTTTGAAGTACATATAGGTCCATCAACTTGGAAAGCCACAGAGATGGGAGCTCCAGGCAGTTAGTCATCTGTCATCTGCAGTAAAGAAACAAAGAATATCAGTGCTTGTGGTGGGCTCACTTTTCCTTTGTAATGAGTTAAGGATCCCATCCCAGGGGGGATGGTGCTACCCACAGTGGACAGGTCTTCACACTTCAGTTGACTTATTAAGACAGTCCCTCACAGGCATGCCCAGTGGCTTGTCCCCAAGGTTATTCTCAATCTTATCAAGGTGACAATGGAGTTTAACCACCCATGAATAAATCCATTTAAATGTTCCAACCTCAGTGAAGTCTCCCTACCAGCATTTCTCAGAGTACCCAGACGTTTCTTTCTAAGCATTTATTGTGATAAAAATTAATTCATACTTTGTGCTTATTTTATTATTGTTATTTTTAAATCAGTGTTAAGGAAAAGGAACTGTGTTTGCTTTGTTGATCACTGGACCCAATGGATGAGCACACGACACAAGCATGAAGATTTGAGGGGAGGGGTGATAAGTACCTCTTAGCCGTGTCTTTCAGTTGAGGCTCACAAACCATTCATTAAGATATCAGTCTACTGGGACACAGCGCAGCAAGGATTAAGGAGAGAAAAATCTGTATACAGTAGGAAAAAGAGAAAGTAATACACATAAGTAATTATTAAGTAGAATTTCTATTTGTTTCTGTATGGATGTGCCGATATAACACACACACACACACACACACACACACACCATACCCACACCTGTGTAGAATATGTTACACTCAGTAGATGTCTGAAACTACAGGTACTACCAAACTTTGTATTTTATTTCTTTTTCTTTATATGTATATTTATGATGAAACTCAACTTATAAGTTAAGACTACTAAGAGATTAGCCACACTAACTACTAATAGAAGGAAGAATTGTAACAATATACCAAGACAAAAGTTATTTAAAACTTATGAATTGTTTATTTCTTCAATTTTTCTTTTTTTATCTTGTTTGTTTTTAGATTGGAATACAAAGCAATAGATTTTATTATGGCATATTCACACATAATTTATTTTTATTGATTCTGCTACTTTCTTCCATTGCTCCCCAAGCCCACAGCATCTCATAGTTTTCATCCCCAGGAGTACCCTTTATGGCTTCTTGTCATATATCATCTTTTATCCTTCCCTTGTTCCTCAAATCCTTGTCTTCCTCTCACGTGGTCTCCTTTCTAATTTCATGACCGAAGCCCACTCTCATAGCTGTGCAGTTCCTCACACATAAAAACTGAAAGCCAAGATCTGCATATGATGGAGAACACCCATTATTTGTCCTTACAAGGCTAGGTCACTTCACTTAATAGAATGTTTTCCAAATACGTTAATTTTCCTGCAGATTTTCTAATATCTTTATGTCTACATTTCTTTTTCCCCCCAGTGTCTTAAAGTTTTCACTGTAAGAAACTTTCACTTCCTCGGTTCAGCTTATTCTTGCCTTTCTTCCTAATTTGAAGGTATTGTGAATGCGATAGTTTTTCTAATTCTTTTTTAGAAAGTAAATTGTTGATATCTAGAAAAGACTGATTTTTATACATTTATTTTTGATCCTACCACTTGTCTGTGTTTATCAAATCTAAAAGTGTTCTTGTGTATTTTGTTGTCTTCAAATAGAGAAAATTTGATTTCTCACATCCCCACTTGTATCTTTTTGATATCATCATCCTGTCCTGTTTCTCTAGCTAGGATTTTAAGCACTATGTAGACCAAGAGAGCGAAAAGAGTGGGCACCATCGTCTCATTCTAGATTCACAGGAAGTGCTCTCTCTTTCCCCACATTGAGTGCAAGGTTGGCTATGGGTTTACCCCATAAGACCTTTATTACACACATGATCTTTACTATGTTGAGATCTAGTTCCTCTATTCACACTGTCTTCAGCACTTTATCATGAAGGCACATAGCATCTATCCATACAATCATGTGATTGTTGCCCTCTGGCCTATTTATATCATCTGTTCCATTTACTGATTTGCATGTGTTGAACCAGCCTCGCAGTACTGAAGTGAAAGCAGCTGGTCACGGTGTCTGATCTTCCCTGCATGTTACTGAGTTCAGTTTACAAGCATTTTGCTGAGGGTTTTCTTATGTATGTTCATCAGGGCAATTAGTCTCTAATTTTGTTAGATTATTATCTTATTCTGGTGCCCGAATCATACTGGCTTCAGGGAGTGAGTCTGGTAGTGTGGAAACAATCAGAGAAGGAGTGGTGTGAGAACTTGAAAGTTTAGTAGAATTACCAAGTGGACCTTAGTTTCTAAGGTGCCTCATCTTTTTGATTCGTAATGTTACTTCAGTGTAGTCTGAAAGGCTAGAAGAAACTAAGAAGCTATTTGAATTTAATTAAATTAAGGCTCACTTTGTGGTCAATAATAGGATCAGTTTTGGAGATACTTCTATGTGCTACTAAGAACGTTGCTATCTGTTGCATGGAATATTCTGTTGAGTTCAGTTGATTTTAACGTAATTTAGTTCTGAAATTTTATTGCACAATTTTAGTTTGGAAGGCTTATCTAAATATAAGGGTGGGGTGTTGAAGTTTTTCACTATTATTATGTTCAAACTTACATGATATTTCAATCCTTTTAATGTTTTGTATCTTAGTAACCACAAAACTCAATGTTTACTGTTGTCATATCTCATCCTTACTAGTTATTCCCTTTATTCTATATGCCGTGTCCCTCTGACTAGTCTTTGCTTAGAGTCTACTTTATCCGATATCAAAACCACTATGTCAGCTTGTGTATGATCTCTGTTTTCTTGGACCATAGATTTTATACATCTTTGCTCAATAAATGGATTTCACAGAGGAAGTCAATAGCTGGATCTTGTTTATAAATCCAGTCACTTAGTCCATATCTTTTATTTGGTCTGTGATATTCATTTGCATTTGGGTTATTATTGAGAGAGTTTGGGCATTTCTTATGATATTTTTAGTAGATTTTCTGATTGGACTATTGGTATTCTTCCTCACTTCCCTATCACTTTTAGGGCCCTGATCCTGGTTTTTCAGTGTTGGACATGATTGACTGTCCAGGCTTTTCATCTGTCCCTCTCATAGAATGTATTCTTATGAAAAAGACTGTCTTCTTCCACCTATAGTTTTCTCTAACAATTTTCTGTGATAGCTTGAATTTCATGCATTGGCCTAATCTGGATTTGCCTTTGACGGTTCTTAATTCTTCACCAATTTAATTGATTACCTTGCTGGGTATAACAATTTTGATGGGCAGTATTTATTTTCAGGGCTTGAAATATTATCATTTCATACTTGCCTGGCTTTTAGTTTTGCTCATGAAATAATTTATATTTCTCTGTTTCTGTATTTGTATATTGCTTTGTGGCTTTCTCTTACATACAGACATGCATACATACATGCATATTATACTAGACACATATGCATATATGCTTTCACTCTGATATGGTACAGAAAAGTTCTTTGGTCACGTCTATTTGAAGTTCTAAATATCTCTTGTCCTTTCATGTCCGTTTCTTTGTTTGTGTTTGGGGAATTTTATGCTAGAATTTGGGAGAGGGTCGTACTATTTATATTCAATGCAGGTTGGACTGAACCCCTCAACCCTCCTACCTCAGTCTTCTGTGCACTATAATTATAGGCCCTGATCACTATACTGCACATCTGTCATAATCAAGGCGCAGTAGATTGTGGGTGGCTGAAACCACAGAGATTGAAAACTTGAATAAGGGGGTACTGCCTCGTTGAGCGTCTGTGATTTTTGTTAACATTTTAGAAACTAAAAAAAATAAAAATAGTATAGTAGATCCTCTTTAAATCAGAGGTTAGTGTTGAAATAGGAGCGGCAGGGCTGCGTCCCCGGCACCCGGCCGCCCGCATGGCTAGTTTATACCCAGAAATAATTACACGGAAACTGTATTCTTTCAAACACTGCCTGGCCTGGCTAGGTCCAGTTTCTTATTGGCTAGCTCTTATATATTGTTCTAACCCATTTCTAATATTCTGTGTAGCCCATGAGCTGGCTTACCAGAGAGGATCTTAACCTGCGTCTGTCTGGAGTGGGAGCATCATGGCGACTCACTCACTCAGCTTCTTTTTCCCAGCATTCTCCTCTGTCTACTCCGCCTACCTAATTTTCTGTTCTATGAGGGCCGAGACAGTTTCTTTATTATTAACCAATGAAATCAACAGATAAGATACAAGACCCACCTCCATCAGGTTAGTATCCAAATGTTCTCTGTACTCACCATTAGACACTAGCTCTTTTCGTGATTTTCCTCAGCTTGGCTATTATCCAATAACCTTTGTGTGCATACAACTATGCATCTACACACACACACACACACACACACACACACTTACAACCTGAAGTTGTAGATTTTAATTCATATAAGTAATGGAAGCTGTGGGGTTTTTTTTTTAAAACATTTACTTCTTTTTGCAATAACTTTGATTTGTTAAGAATAAAAAGATAGTTATATAATGGAGTAGCTTAATTCAAATTTGAGGATATAAAGATTTGTTACCAAGTTTCTTTAAAGAAAAAAAATTTAGCATAAAACTAAAAGATCTCCTAAAACAGAATTTTGCTCCCTCGGCTATTCATAATAGACCCAGCAAAATGATAATTAACTGTATGTCCCTTCTGCAATGTGGCATATATACCAAACTATCTTTTTCTCCAGCTCTTGACTTTCATCTCAGAAATTCTAAGGAATTTATGACTTGGTACATTTGATGTGGCACAGTTCCACATGTGAGGGATGGCGATTTGGATAGTACGACAGAAGTACGTGCCAAGAATAATTGGCTTCTGTATTGCGGAACAGCTCAAATACTATGTGTATCACAGTATGTAATTTGGGTGTACAAAATGCCGGCAGTTCAAAGTGCTTTACTCCTTTGCAGTGGCAAACTGAGCTTCCTGTTGGCTGACTCCCTAGGTTTGCAGTCAACAAGCTGGGTGCACACAGAGGGAACAGATCCATAAAGGAAGTGCACTCACTGGCTCCTGCCACTGTCATGCCTTAGGGCCAGGATCTCTTTCTCCCAGGCTTCTTCCCTCTTAGTTCGCATTCATTTCTTTTCTTTCCTCCTTCCCACTTTCTTCCCTTCCTTCTTCCTTTTTTGTCCTTCTCTTCTGTTACATATGATGACAAAGAGTTTCTTTTCTTCACTTCTACCCTGCATAAAGCCTTCCCAAGCAGTTTCCTTACTGGAAGATTCTCTTTAGTTCTGATGAAATGTGCAGATTGCAAGACTACTCCCTTAGATTTTGCTAGAGCACGCTTGGGAAGGAACAGGTGAGCTTGCGTTTTAACTGGTAACGTGAATCTATAATCAGGCTACTAAGGCACACGAAGGTAATCACGTTCTCACATGGAGGAAGGTGCCCGTGGCTATCAAAACAGCTGTGCGACTTTGGCGACGGCACCTGGACTTGTTGAGCTCCGATTTTTCAGGTCGCAAAAGTAAAGTCTAATGAGTAGTCTGGCTGGGAGGGCTTCGTGAAACACCGTACATTCAGCAGCGGGAGTCGCACCTGGATCACAGTTCACACTCAATAAGTGTCAATTTTAGTGCCTCATCACAATGTGTAATTGGTAAAGTAAAAGACAAGTAGCGAAACTGGCAAAACTTAATTCAGCGGACATTTTCGAGGTTCTGTAGGGTTAAGAACTCAAAGTTACATGATGTAATCTGTCCATCACAATAACTCCTGCGTATTTATGGTGGGCACTACCATACTCACGTAACAAATATGGAAATTGAACATTTCCTGTGGCAGATCCAGACATTCCGTAGAAGCCCTGGCAGATACCCTTTCTGTCCTACCTACACCTGTGTCTATTTTGAAAACGGTCTCATCTCTGGGGTGGCTCTCACGACACAAAGTGGAGCGAGGTGTCAAGTAATTCCTTCAACTCAAATCACCACCTTTGTCTATTTCGCTGAAAAGGCTTTCGTGAGCAAAAGGATCTATCTCAGGAAAATCGGCCTTAAGGGAAAGTGCTCCTCAAGCTTGAACGTGCAGAGACCAGGTGAGGATTATGAGGCAAGAAGCTTGGCAGTTGTAAGACAGGAGCCCTGGGAATTATGGAAAGACGGAAAGTGCGGTCTGTTCAAGTAAAGCATCTTCTGATTGGACCCAAGTAGTGCTAAGGGGACAGACAGTAGGGTTCTTCTTGTCAACTCTCTTTTGTTCTTTTTAAGCAAAGACGGAAGACAAAATTTAATGTGAGATTTCCCAAGTCTTAAACTATGTGTGGGAGCCAAGCACAGCACATCTGGGGGCCAGGTTTGGTTTACGGACAGCCAGTTAGCAATTTTGACCTAATTACCCTTAATTCTCCACTTCTTTTGACCTGATGAATTGTCCATTAAAGTGGCTTAGACATGTAATAGACCCATTGAGCCGAGTCTTCGTAATATCCACAAATTGTACTTTGCTTCCTGCATTGAGGCAGTTGGTTTTCTCAGAACCCAATTAGGAAGGTACCATTCTGACACCCGGAACTCAGGAGCTTGATACAAGCGGGATCAGCGAGTACCTTGCAGCGAGAAATACATCGAGGGATGCGGCATTAGTCTGCTTAGTTCATTTCCTCCCCGCAGCTCCGTACCCATGGGGGCAGACTCCTAGTTAGGAATGCTTTGCATGCCGGGAATCGGAGCGTAGGAACGTCACGACTTCCCCATGTTTCCCTCTTGAGACTCTTTCCCCTTTCATGACAGTTTGGCCCATTGGGCTGAAATGATAGATACGCCAGGTCATCCACAGATGCTAAACATACTAGATGAGAAAACCATGGGTTGGTTCAGCTTGTCCCTCGGAGGGGACAATGCTATTGTCTGTGTCTGCCTTAATACGCCCTTCAAGTTGTAAATTCACATCGAATCCTGGCTTTTCAACCTTGGTGTATAGAGAATTTCTAGATTATTTGCCTTTGCCTTCCTAAAGTAGTTACTTGATTCAACCGAGATGTTTGATTAATTAGTTCATTTTTTTTTTCAAATTCAAGATGTCATTGATTGCAAGCTACATCTGGGATTTAGGGATATCAACAATACAGGGATGCACCCTGAACTGGATCATAGAAAACTCAATTGGGTGGACACAGTTGAAGGAAGCTCTCCCATGTCACTATTAAGCGCTTTTTTATATTTAAGTAAACACAAGGTGAATTGTAAGCCTCCTCTTTCTCAATTCTTGGTGGAAAAAACACCACTCTGACTGATTTTATTATTTAATTGAAACTTATTATTATTGTATTCATCCTCTTCTTCCCCAAATGTGATCTTGGAATGTCAAATATTTACCTTACAATGAAGGCCTTTTTATCTCATTGGATTGGTTAGGCCACGCTTTTTTTTTTTTTAAACAATTGATTATTAGAGTAGTTTTGCCCTTGTTCTGTCAGGAAAGGATATTTAGGACAACAGTTTCCATTGTCCTGATTCCACCTTGTCTTTATTAGTTATTCCCAAAGTAAAAGAATTTGGAATGGGAGGTGGTGGTGCACGCCTTTAATTCTAGCACTCAGGAGGCAGAGGCAGGCGGATCTCTGTGAGTTCAGGACAAACCTGGTCTATAGAGATAGTGCCAGGACAGGCTTCAAAGCTACACAGAGGAACTCTGTCTCAAAAAACAAACAAAGAAAGAAAGAAATGAAAAAGAATTTGGGGGAAATGACCCTAAATTGCAATAACATTTCTATGAATATGTAAATGAGAAACCAGAGAGGCAGAAATTCTAAATCTGTATTTCCTTAGAACTTTATTATTAAAAATTCTGTAGAATTTTTATCCGTAGAATTTTTATCTGTAGAAAGATCATTAAGTAGACTCCCACAGTCCTCTAAATATGGTATCTATAGTCATACATTTCCAGGACGAAGAGGATAAAAGGAACTGCCCCTCATGACGGTGCGATTTGAGGAGAGGACCAAATTACAGCAGGACTTCTGGAGCTGTGGGATTAGAGACTAAACCCTTCCTCAACATTCTCCCTGCTTTAGAGGTAGGGACTGCCATTAGAAAGGATCCTGGGAGTAACCTGCTCTATTATCTAGAGAGAATGCTGCTGTAACAGCCCCTGGAGGACTTAATGCCTCAGGGGCCGGAGCAAGCTGAGATTCCAGCTCCAGGAATGCTCTTGACATTGCTGAACAAGAACTGACTTAGAATGAACGAGCTGAACTCTTGAGAGTTCAGGGTTGGTTCATCAGAGATGCCTAAGAGACCTTTGCCAAGAACAGGGGAATATGCAGGAAGCCCATGACAAACGCAAAGAAACCTATTTGCCCATTGGACATTCCTTGACCACCGTAAGTTTAGAATGGGTTTACACGGGAGACTGCTGAAAGGCCTCTGAGGCTTTGGGAGACTGTGAAGAGAAACTTTCCAAGGAAAGAGACCTGATTTCCTACAGAAAGGGTAGACCAGGGCTTTCCCTAAAAAGAGGGAAATAAATATGATAATATTTATATCTATGAATTATCCATCATTTGTGAATGTAGAACCAGATGAGATGAAAATCTGTTATGACAAACAGTCATTCAAGAAAATTGAAGATTTAATTTTATCTGGGGACACTGACATGCATTCTCTCACCAAGTCATTAACCATCTATCTCTAGTGCATCAAAACCTGGGATTAAAATGAACACAATTTCGGAGCTCATGACATTTTCCAAAATCAAGAGAACAAGAGCGATGTTGGAAGCATGTATAGAGTTAAGATAAAGTTTATTGTCTAAACTTCCCTGTTCCCTAGAAAGTTATAGACATAGTTATACATGCAAAGTTTTTCACAGATAATGATTAACTTACACCTTGGCATCTGTAGGCACATAAACGAGCTGTTAGAAACACACAATGAAAAATCTTGGTAGCACACACCAAAAATAAATAAATAAAGCAAAAATAGTTCATCAAGGCAATTCCGTTTGCAAAAGGGTATCCCCAAACCCACAGCTGAGCAAGGAACAAAACAGGGCCAACATCACTCCAATCTTCTGCCCCTCATGGATGACTCTATCTCATCCCACTGATGGAAGAAGCTCGACTTCCTGATCTGATGCGATTGGCTTATAGGTGCAAAGGGAAAAAGAAAGCCTCGGGAAATAAGAGTTCTTT